GATTACTTTGATGGTTACTTTGAGTCTCTCTATTTACATCTGAAAGAAGTTGCTCTCATGAACAGTAAATGTACTGCATATTATAATATTTAGGCCTTGAGAAAATGTGTAGAAATTTGTTGGTGTCCAATTTTCAGTGAATAATGGGAATGGTGTGTCTCTCAACGTATATATTATGGGGGAGAATCTACAGTCCCGTTACGGAAATATCGCGTCGGGGTTTGTAACCGTTCGATCAATTATCTTTGACGGTTACATGATGATCTAACGGTTACAAATCCAGACAGAATGATTTGGTAACGGCAATGTGCTGTATTATGTGTCACCATCTATAAAAGTGTCCAAATTTCAAGAGCAGGTGCACCTTTTGGTCCATGCCACTTGCCAATGAAATTAAATTGTTCTGTTTTCAAAGACAAAAAGAGTGGGCCCCACCACATGATATCCACCGTTTGCTTGACTATTGAGAAAATATATTTTCAAATCTATTATTATTATTTTATTTATTTCTTAATATTTCAGAAAATGATGTTTTTTTTATTTTAGTTTTTCGTGGTGGCCAGCCCATGCGATGTGGGCCCACCTCAGAGAGCTTTTTAAAGACAGCTTATTGCCAGTGGTTTTGCATTGGTGTGTCCATATATTTGCAAATTACTTTTGTGCCCCTGTCCCTGTAGTCTGCCTTTCTGGCTTTAAGCTAGCATGGTGTTTAACCATTTGTATGATTTAACTCATACTTTTGGTATATTTACAGTCTCAACCCTACTAAAATTCAGTAATAACTATCAAAATTACTATCACCTTTATATATTTATAGGGGTAGATCTCTATGTCACTTAGCCTCGTACATGAGGAGTGTGTATTCAATTGGGGTTTCAAGTGATATTTTGAAATTTTTTAAGACTTTCAAGATTTCGGAGGAATTCGATGAACTTTTAAACTTGGAGGTGGAATTTGAAGTGAGATTTCGTATAATGTTTATTTAGAAATCCTACGGTATCTTAAAAAGTCTTAACAAATATTAGTCTCAATAGGTTTCTTTCAAATCTTTAAAAGTCTTGATAAATATTAGTCTCATATAAGTTAAATACCTTTTTTAAATTTGAAATGAATACCACAAAACTTTTAAGTGTCTAAAAAAGTCTTAACAAATTTAAATTGAATACACCAGGAATTTTAAAGTCTTAAAAAGACTTTTGAATCTCAGTTGAATACACCCTCGTAGACTCGCACGATTCGGAATCATATGTGGCAAAAATCACGCTTCGGAGCCAGACTTGAATATGAATTTATATTTTTTGTGAACAGATAATATAGTTTTGATTGAATTAAATGTCTATACTATTCATACTTATCAAATGATACCAGCATGACCCATTTATTACATTCCCAATAGTCTATAATGGGTAGGTGATTATTTTCTATGTATAGAATTTGAACGTAAATTTTAGTCATTAGGAAAAAATTTATATTTGCCTGTCACTCTGTAAGGCTATAACCTACCAAATCATACATTTTTTTCTCTTGTAATTTTGAGCTTCCTATAAGTTCGTTTTTTTATTAGTAAATACTTCTATGATCACTTTTCAATATTTTTTCTTTTGATTCAATTCAGGGACAAAAATGGTGGCTCATATGGCGAAGGCGGAGGGACGTCCACACCAAGTGGCGGCAATGACAGTGGAAGCAGCGGTGGTGGTGGTGGTGGTGACGACTATTTTGGAATGATATTTGGGAGCGGTGCTCCTAAAATACCGTTATTACCTCCAAACATTATGATTTTGTTTGCCCTAACTGTTATGATTTTGTGTATCACCACCAACAATGGTGATTTACAATGATATCTCACAATTATTTCCATTCTCATAAAACAAAATGGAGAGAAAAGGAAATTTTGATTATCTCTACTTTAGTTTATTTGTGAATGACTCACAAGTGAGGATGCACACGTGTGAGATGTGCGTATGAAGAACTCACAAATGAGTTGGGCTTCGTGTGAATGATCATAAGTGAAGGGGCGTGTTAAAATATAATACCACTTGTGAGTTATCTCACATCGTTTACCTCATTATGGTACAACTACGCAGACTACGCTTACACTCGTAAGGTGCATTTCACGTACATGAGTTTTGCCCCGTTTCTTACACCATACAATTATTTTAAATTATTTGATATGAACCTCAATACAAATATTTGTAAAATCTTTCAAACGATAAAATTATTTTTTTCACTTCAATTCAGCTCGGCAAAAGTCAAATGTCAAGGATTATTATTTACTTCAAAGTGATCTAAATTCAAATGTTTTCACCATTTTTTGAATCTCATTATCAATTCTAGCTATAATTTATGATGTGATAACTTGATCGAATGTTTTTTTTTTTCAGAACGATAGAAAATTTTATAAATCAAAATGCACAAATGTGCAAAATATACAACATCTAGTTGAATAAGATAACCAAAAGTCGAATAAGTTGGGAAGACAGGTCCGAAGACCGCCTAGAGCTGATACTAGCAACACTAGAATCCAAAAGACAAGACACGACAAACACTAATAAAAATAATAAAAACTACAAGACTCTCAATAGGAGGATAGAGACGATTCCAAAGGAATAATGCTCGCTCCCACACGAGTGCACAGAGGCCAAGAGCCCAAACCAAAAACACAAATCCTAAACAACGAACATGACAAACAAACTGCACAACCCTTCCCCAGCTGAATAGTTGGGCTTAGCACAAGGCACCAACAGAATAAAGACCGACCATCTCCACAACTTGACCCGAAGTCTAAAATACCACTCCCGAAATTGCCTAAACGCCTAGCTGAAGCCGAGTCCCAAAACCCCAAACCACTCCTAGGATGTAGCCGACCCAAAGCCGGACAAGCATTGGCCAGACCCCACCACACAACCCCCACCCCAAACCCGGCCATCACCACTGACCTAAATCCGAGTAAGCCAGGCTTCCCCGACCTTCACACCAAAGGAAACAGAGAAGCAGGGGGATCTAGCCACACCCCTCAAACCCCAGCCGACCTGCCACCGACAACAACGAGCAGCCAATGCCTCAACCACCCCTAATCACACCACTACCCACTATACAGCCAGAGAAGTCGACGAACTCGCACGAACGACGACCAAAGCTCAAAAAGTACCGTTCGACGGGCATCCTCCAACCTCCTATGGCACAAATCTCTTAGAGAAGTCGGACAAGGGAGAAGGCGCTTAATCAAATGTTTAATACATCAATTTTTCCAAAAATCCAAGTGACAACATTTTCTTCCATAAGCTTGTTTCTTTCTTTTTTTTTTTTCAGTTCTGACACAAACTTTTGAGTTCACATAAATGTTATCACCGTACCAAGGCCAACACTTTGTCCAAACAAATTTGATTGCATTTTACAGTGTTTAATTGAAGCCAACTCAAAGTATCTTTATGTACAGGCCGCAATGATGAAGTCAATAATTATTGTGCAAAACAAATAAATTGCAACAGCTACCAAGGCTTTATACACATTTTATGTATGTGTCTTCTGTGGTTCTTCTATCTCTATTTCAAGAGGAAAGGCTGCAACTTGGAGAAAGAGTAAAACACATACTGTTGTAAACACACATTTCATTCAAATAGATTAAACATCCACACAGTCGGAAAAATGGTTTTTACGGCCTCAATCTCCACCCACGCTCGGCAAGTGCTTTACGCACTTGGTTTGCGGCCTCTGAAGTATCGGTTAAAGGTGGGTAACTCCAGCTTTCTGACATCTGAAAATCAATAAGATACGAAGATAATAAAAAAACTAATGGTCTTGTCTGAAAATCGATAACACATGAAGATATAAAAAATTAACAGTCAAGACCATAAATGTAGTTGATAAGTTTCCAAGCAATAAAGCAAATTTGCACGCCAACGGAATTCGGTATAAAAGGTGTATTCAGTAACTAATCCATGAGTATAAAAGGTGTGCAAAATTCCACACAAACATCCTAGAAAAAGCGAGTTGATCACGATATTTCAAGTAATTACACGATACCCCAGTTAGTTGGATAATTAGTAATTAGTAGAACCTTGAGGTTTGATAATGTTCAACATGTTACCCCAACAGATAGTGGAAGTTTGCAACTTCATCATATATAATATATTGTATCCCTTTAAACTTATCTAATACTACTGATCGAATAGGTTATATTAACAACATCCGAAAAATGTAACTGTAAAAAGTAACATAAAAAGTTCAAGCTAGTTGCAATGCCTATAAAAGTTTGAAAGATTACGATAAAATATTTGATAGAACACTATTGCAAAATGCAACATGAAAAGTCAAGCTATTCGGAAGGCTTAGAAAAGCATTGAGGAACAATTTTTTAAACATTTACTGGGGGACCGCCAGGGAGAGATTATAAACTCCGAAAAAACTGTGAGATACGCAGATCGGATTTTGAATCAACTATACAACACACTTATACAGCGAGGGACGTCAATATAAGAATATTTTATGACATCACTAATTCCTGTTACCAACGGAAAATGCATCATGTAAAAGTAGATATACCAAGGTAGTTTCTGCAATTTTTTTAGAACTTGGCTTAGGTTTTAAATTTTTTATTTATTAATTGGGTAATCACACTGAACCTCAATCACTGTGTTAGGAATTGTCTCTATTTTAAGTTGTATGCAGGCTTAAAAGATATACATGTTCCATATAACCAACCTACCAACGCACAGTATTCAAATATATTTGTAATGGGAAGAATAGTGAAGTTGTCACTTACATCCTCAAGACCAGTAAAAGGTCGAACAAGGCCTCTTTCCCTTAACTTTTTATGGAAATCTACAAACTTCCATGTACAGCGTTCAGCCCCGATAACATAAACAGGCTTCCTGAAAGTTACCATAATATCAGGTCAGATATTCGGAAGGTGTCATCGAAAATCAATATATAGCAGAACTATGTTGGGAATTTACCCTGTACTGCAAGCCTCACTCAACATGCTAACCGAATCAGCAGTGACTACAAAAGCATCAGCCCAGGCCAGATGTCCCATGTGCGGATTCTGTCCTGATTACGACAATATACTCATTAGTTAAAAGTTCTGAAAAATCAAGCCACGAATTACTTATCATGTTACATTGGGATGTAATGTACCTTCACCATCCCATATGTGGATTTTGGTAACAGTTCCGACTTCTTTAATTATTGTGTTACAAATCTGCCGATAGGAACCAATTAAAAAACTCTCAGTTAAAAAATGTGCAAATTGGATGATCTATAAGAGATATATCAGTCGAATTCAAACCACAGAAAAATTTCAGAAGTAAACTTTTCACACCTTTTCTGGTGTTCTCCTTGAGAAAGATATTCTCACACTTCCACAGCTTGTGAGGACATTATGCAGAGACGCTGATAGTTGTTTTGCAAGGTCCGTGCTGTATCTGCAGTACCCTATCAATGTATACAATTTTGAGAATGTGAACGGCCATTGGACGAAAAGGTCGACCGGCTAAAAACAGAACTGAAGGCACATCTACTTCCCAGAAATAGATTAGGGAAGAAGGAACCGAGGCTATTTTTCAATGAAATATACTAATGCTTGGAGTAGCAAAGTCGTTTTAATTTTCAAGATGATAAATAAGTCTGGTCTGTTCACGTGGAATAGGCCTTAATTATAAAATTATAAAAAGTTAATAGTAAAGTTATAATCAATGCAGTAGTCACTGATATATCATATTTTGGGATAATAATTGCACTGACAATGTGATACTGAATTAGTATATTTCATATTTTATTAGCTATGTATGATAAGAAATATACATAAATTTATCAATATTTTAATAGCTCCACCTATTCCTGGCCAAGGTGCCCGTCTAAGTGATTTTTTAGAACATTTTTCATTACAGATTGAAATTTCAACTATATGTTGAATAGGTCTTAAGATTTCACTTTAAAATATCAGGAAAGTGTAAACTGCCTATGAAATTATAAAACTATTAAATAGTGGAAAAAAAGTGAAACCCCAAATCCATAAATATCCAATTTTTTACCATAGACCAAGCTTCGCACTCCCAATACCATTCCAAGTCCGCCCATTATAACATTTCCCATCTTAATAAAAGGACTAACTACATTATATAACACTTAATAATCAAGCAAAGTTGGTAAAATAATTCATCAAAACAAATAAGTTGAACGAGGTTTTACTAATTGCATCATCAGGAAAAAGGAATGTGAATTACTTGTAGGCCCTCCAATGTTCACAACCAGCAAAGGCTTGGGGAGAGGTGCAAACTCATCATGCCAGGCGATAGCTGCACTTCGAAGTGCGGCAGAATCTACATGATGGAGGGCTCCTACTGTGAGGACCTGATCAATGACAAGAACACCCATACAATATAATATAAAGCAACTTATCAGCAACAACAATTACTGTAGCAAACTAAACATATATGTGAATAATAAGGATACATACAACACGTTCATTAGGAGGTTCATCAGGTGTAATCCATTTCCGGAAAAGGCGAGGAACCTGTCGCTGTGCTTCAGGAGTAAATGGGTAATAATCGTGCATTGGTGTTATCACCATATCAAACCTGTCTAAACGGGATCTTGGATGCTGAATCTGAAAAGGAATTGCTTGATAGTGTTATAAACAAATATAATTCTTCAACCAACAGAACGGCTGCTAAAGAACTCCTATAGATGAGCAATCAAGGAAAACAATGTATTATTGCAAATTATCTTACAACAACTAATATTGAACTAAATGTATTTTTTTCCCTCTTTTGGTAGTTAAATCATTTCATGTAATATTATTTTATGAGAAGAATATTCATATTTCATAAATTAACTCTGTTTCAGTGCAAAAATTTATCATAGATAAACCCAGAAGTATCCACGAAAACCTTGGATGCTATAATGCCTATTATAAGCCTGATGAACGCTTAAATTCTGCTGAATCAGAACAAATTAGCTGATTTAATTTAAAGTTGGAAGTAATAGGCAGAGGGAAATTTTTAAGAGAAATTTATAAAGAAAAGTCATGATTATAAAACAGTGAATGTATGAGACACAGTTCACTGAGACTTGGAAACATGAAATATACTTATAATATTGAGAATGGAATGACTTCAAAGTTACCGTAATAGAACTTTAGATCAGGACCATTTTTGTGTAGTAAAATATACATTGCAGATATTTTAAATGCATTTCTTTGAGATACAAAGACAGCACCAATACAGAACTGAATCAGTATTTACTTCCATATAGCGATACAAAATGTTCTTTACTGGGACTTGCCAGACAGAAGGACAGCATACTAACCTGGACAACAAACACATTGTCAGATGCCAATCTTTTTATAGAGCTTGCAGCCGAAATGGTATCTCTGCCAGATGCTACCACAAGTAGAGGACCATCCCTGGAAAGAGGTTAAAAATTGTTATTCTTCGTGTGTTACGAGTGATTTAGGCACGAAAATATGAACAAATAGACAGTTAAATCAATTTTATTACAGGGAATTATGTTTTTATTTTATTCTGCCCAAGCTTCTCTCACTCTACTCCATTAGGAAAACACAATCGATTGTTTTTAGCTCTTTACACAAAAATGACTTTCATAGATATAATGAATGATGTATGTTCAGCTGTACACTAAAAAAATGTAACTCTTCATGAAAAGCATTCATCTCCATTCATGAGACTATTATAAAAGCAGCAGATCTACTTTGTCATTGACACAATTGGAAAATTTGAGATGTCACATAAGTATTCAGGTTCGGATCTTCACTCAATAAGTCAAAAAGGTAAACAATCAGGTAGTAGGCATTTCTTCTATCACAATAACCTTGGGCCCCTAAATTATGTCTCCAATCAATGGAAACAGCTGTTAGCAGAATTACAGTTTTTCTCAGTAATTCAGATGAATAGAAGTCACATTGTCCAAAAGAAAAAGTCACATTGTCCAAGTAGTAATCCCTAAACCTAGTAAATTTAACTTTAAATCTCAATGAACTATATCCTACGTAAAGATAAAACACATTTGAATGGGGCACAATACTGACTTGCCGAGTATACTAGTAGATGCATTCCTCAGTCATATTGTGCAAACGGGAAAGAGAGAGATGGGAAACTTACTTCTCAAAAGTTTCTTTGGCTAGTTTGACAATATTCTTCACATCAGCTTCCAGCACCACTGACAAACCTACACCGACACCATTCTCCCTAGGGAAAGGAGCTTGCTTCGTCCCTCTTCTAGCAATAAAAATTTGTGAATATCCATATATCTGGCTAAATATATAGTACAACTTTTTGTGAACAGCAACCGGGAGCCAGTGCAGCCACTCATTGATACCTCCCTTTGGTCTCGTAACTCGCTGTATAATATAAGCATCAGATAAACAGGATACAATTGAATCACTAAGCTGCAAATTGCAATATATGAGATACTAACATGTCAGATGTTGAATTTTTTAAGATAGGATGATTAATAATTGGGACAAATTTGGTCACACATACAAACAGTAATGTGCAGGCTAGCCATCGATGATAGATACATGCTGCAGAAAAGAAACAGGTCAAAGGCGGCAACAACGAAGAGGACGTACTACTCAATGGAACGACAAAACTATAAAAAACAAATCTAGGCATGGGATTAAGTATTAACTAAAAAGGGGTTTCAGCAAACAAGGTAATTCAGAGTGAGACACCATTGCAAGAAAAGTTTGGCACTGCAAATAGGCATAGAAACCATTTTGAGAAACGAATTTAAGGTATTAAGCAGATGAAGGGTTTTGCCTTTTTCTTTTCTCTTTTTTATATGTGAGAATTTTATAGACCTTTCTCCAAATTTGTCTTAAAATTCAATGGTAAGTGACAAAATCATTTTGATTTTTTTTTTCTTCGGATCGATTCCATGTATGAAAGGAAAACTAAAGCTTCTATGGCCTTGCCCTCAAGCTCACTCCTTTTCACTCTTTTGTCTATACTCATCAATTCAAAGTTCCTTATAAGCATAACTGCAAATGGAACCGAGAAAATTCAGAGATAAATTCTCGTATTTTTCTTAAATAGAAGAATGCCTCACTTGTAGAAGTTATCAAATAAAATTTTCCACCTAAAAATTTGGTTTCTTTCATTATGCTCTAAATTCAATTATTAACACCAAATCGGTACCAGGGTTCCCAGGGAAATGAAATTTCACGATAACTATTCTCCGTCAGAGCTTCCATATGAAAAGAACACAACGATATGAGATCAACTCACAAAACTGGTCTTACAACACAGCAAATAAGGCAGAAACGTTTGGCCTGAAAACTACTAGCACAGAACAAAAAGGATACATAATTTTACACATTCCTAGGAGCAAACCTCAACATAAAAAAATACAAGTCAATTTCTATTCCTAGTTAGTTCCGTTTTAAAGGAAATAAAATAAGCACATAAACATGGAAGCGTCCATTAACCCCACACTACATCATTTTGCTTCACCATCAAAAACTATATCGCATGAAAAGCATTCAACTGAACCCGTCAACAAACCCCAGGGAACAATTAGAACCCAAAGCTATAGAATAACGCAGCGGAAAGCAACGTGAGACTTACATAGAGAGTTTGATTTTCAGATAAACCGAGGGCGCGAACCAACCCAACACTCTGATTTTCCGATGCCGGGTAACCGTTGCCAATGATGACAGCTCGCCGGATAACGCCATTAACGTCGCCGTCGAAAACATCGGCCAATCCGCTCATCGGTTGCGGGCTCCCTGGCGGCTCCGGAAGTCTTATTGGCTTCATTGGCGCATAAAACGGAGAAAAAAAAATATAGTCCAAGAAAAAACCCTAGGTAAGATTTGATGTGCGGTTGAACTCTGTGCAGACTAAGAGACACAGCGATGAAGGTGATGACGAATTGGTTAAAATCATGTATGTATGGTGGGTGGTGTGTAAAAATCCGGTAGGTCCTTGGATCTATCCTGAACTGGTGAAATGTTCCGGCCTAGAAACTATTTGGGAATGATGTATGGTATGGGGTGTGTGAGTAGTAAATAGGGATGAATATATATTTGTATGTATTTAATTTTAGAATTTAGAATATTTAGTGTGTACACATGTGATGATCACATCGTGTAAAGATGTTTTCTTGTTGTTTAAGGTGTGCCTAATTTTATTACCCAAGTGACTCAATATACTATTCAGGTGCTCAGACTGTTCAATTTTGTTACCACGTGCCCTTATCCACGTCATTCTTATCTTTATTTTATTCATACTTATTTGTTTATATGGAGTGTTAACATTAGTGTATCTCATTAGGAAATGGTTCTAGGCATTGTCGAACTATTAGCTCGGCTTCTTTTGTATTTTAACCACTTTGATCAACAATAAACAAGTCTGTTTTTTAATTCTACAATCGACTTACATGTCGAGTTTTCATCAGACTATCCTAGAGTTCTAGCTCGACATGTTGATGAACTGGTTTGCCTCATAGGTCCTAATCGACCTCGAGTCTTCATGCTGACCGACATCTGGCCGAGCTGTTGATCCGCTCGAACTGCCCCAGTAACTCTGAAGTCGCCTAAGGTTTAGTGGTTGGTATAGCATGCCATATCATTTGGTTTCTCCCACTCTAATCGAGTTAAGATGACTTGAGCTAAGAGCGAAACCAGGTATCTCCAATATCTTGCTAATAATGAACTGCCCCATGCATTGAACGAACTCGGCCTAAGAGTAAGCTTTTGAATTCAAAAAATCAAAAGTCAAATTCTCTTAACCCTTTTCAAAACACTTGACACCCTTTTAAATCGACATAAGTGTGTCTTCTTGTACCATTCTGAAACGACACGCCCGTTAATGCAGCCTCAATCTTATCCGTTCACATTTAATTTCACCAGACGATCCAGCTTATCAACCCTCTTGACTATCAAACGGTCTGGATCAAATGACCTTCCCGACTTCCCTCATTTAATCTTGTCCGTCTATAATGACTTACATCGAACGGCCTGCTCGACCACCTGTGTTATGGTATTAAAACCTCAGCCTTCAGTTCATGACAATACCATTTTGAATGAGATTTATGGTTTAGTCAACTGAGTGTTTGCAGTTTATTTTTTTATACGAACCTAGTTCCAATATTTTACGTTGTAGATAATATGGTTTGACATGTCGAACAAAAATATCATATTATCAGTTTCTTGTAAAATATAAATATTTGTTCACATCCTAGACATAATTGAACTAACTGTTGTGAAAGGTTGTATCGAGTTAGTTAATCTTTGACTAATGAATTATTACATCGATCCTCGTAAAAAAAGATTTTTTTGTTTTGTGGAATTAATCATTTATTTTCTTTTGGAAAGAAATTATGTTCAACCGAGCAAATATCTCATGGTTACAAGAGTCTATCCATCGCGTATAGGCTTTAAGTTAAGGGCTATTAACATAGTGCCTAACCATCTAGGGGAAGTTGGGACCTAAGAGATCGAATGGAACAATACATAGGCAAATAAGCCCTTAGGAATTCCAAGGTACTTCTTTATTTTTGATTTTGCTTTTGCTAGGCCAATAACCAAAAAAGCCCACTTTCTTTCGGTTACGAGGTTTATTCAAATATGAAATCCAATCTTGGAAATACAGCATCCCACCCTTTTTTACTACCCAAGGTTTCGATACATTTCGCAATCGAGAAATCTCTACCAGTGCAGGTGTTATTCGAGAACAATGAGTCAATCTAGATTTACGCATTATTCTAGATAATTTGTTGGTAGAATGGAAAGAATTAGGAGAAGAAGGGCCCACGAGGAATGAATGGAAAGATCAAAAGGTTGGAAGAAGAAAGGATTTTTTTGCTTAGACGCATAGTATTGGACTAGTACATCTCAAATGTATTAAATGGACCTACAGAAGGATAAGGTTGTTTTATACTAATAAAGTAAATAATTTAGACATCAATAATCGTTTTGTTATCTTAACATGTAAGGCAATAAGCGGGCATACATATTTTGTTATTTTTTATTTGATTCATCAAAGGAGACATTATGTTAGGTCAATAAACTCTGCATATTGGTAAATAATTCTGATTACATGATATGTCGTTGAAATTGTTTACGTTCACCGTGTCTTGGTCTACCAAGTTGATGACGTCCCGGAAATGGGCTCAAGAAAGATTATTATGTCAAGTCCTGTAAGTGAATAAGTTTCTGACATAATAATAAGAACTGTGTGGTACTAATTTCGGTTCAAAAAGTTGATTAACTATATTGGCAGTAATTAATTAATCAACAGACGATAAATCTTAAATATCGAGGGGTAAATCGAGCAATTATCCCATAGATGAATTATTTGTAATTCCAGGCTAAATAAGGAGTTCAGTAATATTTTTTTAGTGGAATTAAATATTACTCAAGTATTAATGGAGTGGGTCAGGTCCACAGTAAGATTCTTGAGAGCCCATATGTAGCACCTACTTAGGATCTCTAATGTAGCCTATATAAACACCAAATCCTTACCCTCAAGGACAAATAAATTCATGTGAGGTCTCAGAATTCTTATGTAACAAATGGAGCGTTTACAACATTGGAAGAGAGAAAAACCGTGAGTTTTGTAAGAGGTTTGGTAGATCTGACAAGTCGTCCACCACGAAAAATCAGAGAAGGTGATTGGATATACAACAGAAGACATCAAGGTCTTCCATTCGCATCTTGACGGATATATTTATCTCCTGCACACTTCCCGAGGCCACCGTATTTGGCAGCCCCGACCACCGTATACCACGCACGCGAAAATGTACCCGGCGACAAATGCGGCCCATCTCGAAATCCACGCATTGCGGTCCAATGATCCACGACAATGACTCGACTAGGTCTGACGTAGACGGTAAGGCGAGGCGACGAGAAGTTTGATGTGAAGAACATCTCAGAACCGTTCGTCCAACCTAGCAGACTATGTAATTGGCTCAAATAGTCGACAAAGTTTTAAGTCCTAAGTTTCTAATCTCAGATACAGATTTTGCTGCGCGAGAATTTATTTTTTAGATTCGAGTGTGCACATCAGTCGATGTTCCAAATAGAACCCAACAACTAATATTACAGTTCATACTAATTCGATCTTTATGCATTATTCGAATTAGAACTTACTTGAACACATGTGAATTAAATGTGTACGAGCGCAGCGCGTAGTAGATTAGAATTGCAAATAAAGTGTATTTGCAGGATCTTGAATCCAACACTTATAGCCATGTGTTATAACTTATGTATGTTTGTGTTTGTAAGCCCCGGACATGTCGGGAATTTTTGGGTTGTGGAATGATTGTATATTTTAAACGTGCGGTGGTTTCTCTTATCATTCTTGAACGATCCCTGCGTGGGTCATATGATCAAATTATGTAATTTTTGAATTATGTTTTTTGACAGACACAACGAACGTGGACGAGATCGAACGATCAAGACGGATACCAGCTAACCTCAACAAGGTGAGCCAACAGTGGCCCCATGATCGTCGATGCGCGTTGTTGTCGTACACACGCGGGCGAGCCCGTTGGCTGCTTGATGCCAGCTGCAGACAATGCCATAGCCTGAGTTGGGATGCAGCACGCGGTTGACACTGTGTGTACAGACGGGAAGCGAGGGGTGACGCACTGAGGCGCTGGGCGAGCGTGGGCGACAACGAGTGTGCGAGTCCCTCTCAGAAGCCTATGCGCTCGACGCACACAGTGCCTGGGGACCGGCGGTCTATGGCAAGCCCCGTCATGGTGCAGCGCGAGCTCTGGTTGCGCGTGCCTCGCTCTAGGGCGGTAGATGTTCAAGCCAGCGTGCGCGAAGATGTTAAGCAACGGGGCTGGCAGCGCGTGCCCTATGCGTGCGTGTTGAAGTCGTCTCACACAACACTGATGAACACATAGCTTCACCAGATGCAATGCGCTCCGGCGATAGTAAGCAGCAGCAGGCCAGGTTTTAATTATGCATGTGCCTAATTAATTTGGTGCTTATGTGCAAGAATAATTAAGTTTGGTATGATCATGCTTAGAAAAATTCGTTAATTAAATTATACTAAGTGTTTAATGAAATTAAATAAATTTAAAATTCCACATCCATTATTGGTTTGTTGGTGAAGCAATTAAATTTGGGCATTGGAATGGGACTTCCTCCCTAAGGACAAATTTTATTACAATTCACTGGAACAAACTTCCTACGGGATGATAGTAGAAAATTATCTGAAAAGCGTGCGTACCTATTCTAAGACAAACGCGCAATTTAGTAAGGGACGTAGTACCAAATAATGTGTAACACTTAGCGTGCTTTTAATAGTGGTGTTCCTAAGGAATCACTCTTGTTATTTATACGGGCCAAAAGCAAACCGACTATCAACTATGTGTTGAAAAAATAAAATGTCGAACTCTTCTCTTGCAGCGATAACCCGTATATGTCCACTCTAACGTGGCATGTAAGAATTCAGTGTTTTGAGGTGTCAGTGAATTTAATATATACTAGTGTTAAAGGATTAATATTTAAGAACTAAATTCGAAGACTTGACTAAGAAAATTTATTTTACATGTTCTAAAAGAATTCAAATGTCTTTCAATCCTTTATCCGTAATTTTCAAACAAAACAAACTTACTGGTCTCAATTACATTGACTAGAAAAGAAATTTGGACATTGTGTTGACTGATGAGGGGTACAAGTTTCTCCATTCATATGCTTGTCTGAACTAGCCTGATGAGACGGCCATAGACCAATAGAAAGAGAAGTATAATAAGGGGGAAAAGGCTAATGAGATGGTACAGTGCTATACTCTGGCATCTA